AATACCTGCAAAACCTTGAGCTGAGAATAAGTCTGCAATGCTATTTGATGTCTGGGTCTTAAAATTCTGATAAAGGTTAGCCAGATGCTTTTTATGAATATAATGTAGGACAGTTTTGTTTGATTTTACGTTATTTGTTTCCTAAAAGGATCTGTGGTCCTGGGCAACCTGCTCTAAGTGACCCTGCTTGAGCAAGTGGGTTGGACTGGATCATCCCGAGAGGTTCCTTCCAACCCTCAGCTATTCTGTGATTTTGCACGCAATCAACAAAAACGTGTAGCTTAAATTTTGTATATGAAGCACAGTTAACCTCTTTATAGTATAGAAAGCATGAGTGCGTGAGAGCAGATGAAAACAGCTACCAATATAACTACTAATTGCTATGACCCCACTGTGCCAAAGCTTATGCAGGTGCTTAACTCCAAACGGACACAGAGGCCATGCTATTATGGCCTCTAATTAATACATTCATAATGGAGCTAGAGAGTTGCAGAAATGATAGCCTAAATGAGCCTTCTGCATCTTCTCACTTTTTCATGACTGTGTAAGTCTGTAGAGTATTATAGAGTCCACTTCTTTTGAGCAAAAATATCCTACACGAACAGCGTCTCTGCTTAGCTGTTTTCTCTGTCAATACTTCAGTGAAGAAGAATTTATTCAGGACTAATGACTTAAAGTAAAATTGTCTCACAACACACTAAGGGCAGATGAATAAAGAACCTTTTTGTTTGTTTGTTTGTTTTGAAATGGTTATTTTTAGGCAGCTAGTCCGGAAGGTAGAAACCAAAGCCTACCATGTGCTTTTCTATGCAATGCAGTGGGGAGAATTGATTCCCGCAGGGAAACAATCCAGAGACCGTCCGACTCAGCAGGGAGCACCTTAGCATTAACCAGTGGAAAATTCTGAGCGCGGGGGAAATCTGTTTTTTGTGTGTATGTGTTCTTTCTCTGCAATTTAAGCACCACAGTGAGTTCTGCAAGGGAGATGCTACACGGCCTCCGGAGCCAGAACCAGTTCCTTACAGAAAATGCCAAACTTGAAAGAATGAAAAAAATCGTGTGCTAAAAAGAACACAATGCCCTTCATTTACAAAAATAACCTACTGGTTTCAACGCTTAACCAGAAATGCTTTTGCACCCTAGTGCCTAATACGCTGACTTAAGAGTAAGGAGTCCTGGAGTCTCCCTCGTGCCCTTAAGGCTATTATTATTTTTATCCATTGACTGTTGAATGCACAATGTAGTGCCTATAGGCACGTTCAGAGTGTTCCCCCGTGCAGAAAGGGGTGAAAGATTGATGCGGGTAGGAGGAGAGAGCATGGGAAAGTATAAATCGCTAACTGGCCAGAGCAGCTTTGTGGGAGAGGTGACTCTTCCCAAAGCACACAAGCCTGTTCTCAACAATTCCCAGCTAAGTATTGCAGCCACTGGGCTGTTACAATGGTAGATACTGCTGCTGCGGTTTTTTTCAATAAAGAAATCAGTTACAAGCACCTACTGGCAGCGTTTTTCCTACTGTGTGCTGCCATTGGTTGCCCAGGTGGAGCTGAGCAGTGCTCTCCCTACATCCTGGATTTTGCTCACCTGGATCCTGATGCATTTCGTGCTTTGACCTACTGGGGAAAGAAGGTAGAACTGCACTTGCTTGAAAAAGTTGGCCACATTTATATACAGAAAGGAGTTACCGTAACAAACATCCTCAGGTTGTTTTTTTAGAAAACACTTTTTTAAATTGTGCATGAGTGTTTATAAATCCTACAGCCAATTTAATAGTAAAAAGCTTAACTACCCAAAGAATCCTTTCCATAAGTATATAAATAATGTGACAAGTCTTACAAGCAGTCTTGCAGTAATGTAATTATATTCCTCTTGCATTCACTTTACAAATGTGGTTGCATAAGACTGTGGAGTAGAAGGACAGCTACACACGCTGTATCTCCAGATCTCCAAATTAATAATATGCCTTCGACAGGGAAGGGGGGCGTTGAAAGCAAAATGATAGGGTTTAGATAAGCATTTATATTAAAAAAAAAAAAAAATTAACAGGCAAGGCACTCAGACAAGTCCTCAGAGCCCCAGTTATTGCAACAGAAAGTCCACAGCACGCAAACTGACATCTCTGTACATAAGTCATTTCGTTTGAAGTAATACATGAGTAAAAAGCAATGTACTGAAAAGTCCTTCTGTTTTTGCTAAACCAAGGGAACCCCCTGGGAAACCTTTCCCCGTTTATCAATTTCCTGTGAGAAGCAAGCAAAACTCTGTAGGTCTATCTGCATGCGTATGTGCATTTCAAGAGTGTCTATAGGACAAAGGGATATTGTCGTTTCAGGATTGAGAGTCAACCATATTTCTTCATCATTCTTGCATTGTCCTTCCTCAGTTGAAACTATTCACGTGCATGATTTATCGTACAAAACCGGGTAGAAGGTCTATTCATGCATTCTAGTTTTCATCATAAGTTTTTTTTTTTTGTTCTGTTGCCCTTTTCTATAAAAAGCATATAAATCCAATAACTCTCCAGAGAGTGAATTTTGTAACAAATGTGCTCCAAGACCACATTTGGCTCCACAGTTGCCACATCAGCAAAACTAAAAGAAAAAAAAAAAGACAGATAATTCCAGACAGTAAGGGTGACTAAGCGTATCTTTTCTCATCTTACTTTTATATGGAAATAATTATGTTTCTGTACCTTGGTAAAAGCAAGTGAAGCGCTAGTTAGTTTTGATGCAAGTTTAGTTTGGTTTAAGTTTAGTTAGTTTTGATCAGGAACTATGCATCTGATTTTCTTCATTCATTGGTGCAAAAACTTCACTGTGAAGGACAGATATCGTCATGCTTATTTCTTGAAAAAAAATCATAATAATGAAATAAAATTCATAAAAATGAAAGCTCCTATGAGGTCATAACATTTTACAAAATATCTCTAAGTTATGAATTGCTATTATCATGCTGTACAGCCTCCTGAGGATCGTAATTTCCAACGAATCAATGGTAGTTTATAGTATTCCACTCCCACCAACTTTAGCAGAAACAGTGTTGTTCTTTGGGGCAAAAAAAGAGCTGAGAATACTCATTAGCCCCGTACAAATTCATGCTGCCAATAATGACGATAGGTGTTTCATTTGGACAGACCCAGGGTTTCTCTGGATTTGGCATAGTTTGTCTCCCCTAGATGCTTTAATTTGTCACGGCAGCCCTGGAAATATAATCTGCCGGGTGTTCTCCGCTGAGCTACGTACCAGGTGCAGCTGGTTCAAGACAGCCAGGTTGGTCTAGGTCTGTAACCCCGGGAGTCTGAGGCTGGGCGAAAAAGATGCGTAATAAAATCCATGAAACTGTTTCCTGTTTGGAGGTTACCTCTGGCATCAAGGTGGGAACAGGCAACTTTTTAGAAGGAACTTTCTGTGTAATACCGGTAATGACTAAACCGGTCTTTTTTTTTTTTTTTTTATTATAAA